TAATAAATGCCAGAAGGATTACATAGGAGAAACCTCAGGGAATTTAAATAAAAGATTATATAAACATGAAATGCATCTTTTACAATACAACTCACTCAGTGTACTAGTTGCTCAACGAAAGGAGTTTGACTATAATTTTGATTTTAAAAATTTTACTTTAATTAAAAGAGAAAACAATTTACTAAGACAAACTGTATAGAAAGTACTTTAATTGCTAGATCATCGACAGTAAATTTGCATCCAGTTTCTTCCATTTCACTTTTCCTGGTAGATCTTCTATTATCACAATGTTGGATTCTTAATAAAATAAAAGCATAAACAAAAGGAAAAAGAAATTAAATGAAATTGGCTTGACCATATAGCCAAAAACATTTAAAAAAAAAAAAAAAAAAAAATTTAAAACATTAAAATTTCAGTGTCCCCATTCCTTCATTACCATGTGAAGTTGCATGGACATAAACATCACTCTAGTCTGAAGTCCTAAAGGACGAAACTTGTCATGTCAAAACATTTTTTCCATGCTTTCATTTCCCTAATATATATATATATATATGTGTGTGTGTGAAATGCATTTTTGGAACTATTTGTAGATGAGTGATTATATTGCAGTTTCATTGCTGTCAGAGTGCACCGATTCCAACCAGATGTTAGGGGAGTGATTGTTGATAGAATGCAAAGTTACTCTAATACGATATCATCTTATCAATTTTGATGGCTATTATACTAATATATAACAACCATTTTACACACACTATATATATATATATATATATATATATATATATATATATATGCTTTGAACAACAAAAAATATTAAAAAATTAAAATTTTCAGACTCATTGGGTTGTATATTAATATTTTTTGTGTTATTATTTCAAATCGGTTCCTCGACTAGTTTTGGCCAACATGGCTATCATCAAGAGAAAAAAAAATCCATTCTTGTTAGTAGCAGTGAACTACAGGAGTGAATGGCTGTTTCTGAAGTAAACTTTGTTGTATTCATTTTGTTTTGTTTTTTATCATTAATTTTGGTCAGTCCCTGTGTTGGTCAAACAGCCTCTTTCAAGTTTGTTTTTAAGATAGATGATGGGGGATTCCTGACTTTAAGAATAACCTTTTTGATCATTTTGACATTTTTATTAATTTCTGGGAATGGGATGCGTGTGTTAAGTGTATGTTATCTTGTAGTTCTTCGGGTGTGTGATGTGTATATATTTAAGTGTGTGTGTATAAGTTTGAAACTTCAACACCTCTGCAAGCATATTTGTCTTGTGTAGGTGAGAAATGTGTATAGGACTTGATTTATGGGGTTATATATTAATTCTATCTATGTTGTTAAATTTGTGGTTCAACATGTCTGGATGAAGTGTTTTGAGGCACAAAATCCATTTGTCTTCATGTTCTAGTATTTTTCTAAGGTTATCTTTTCTGTCTATTTCTATTTTTTTCAATTATAGTGAATTTTGCATGGCTTTTAAAATCATGCTTTCCTAGGTGGAAATGATGTTCTACAGGTAATCTTTTGTGGGGAGCTGACTTGATCTGATTCTAATAATTATTAATTCTGTAGTGAAAGGGCCATTCAGATTTTCCTACATATTGTTTCTGGTATAGTGTGCATTCTAATAGGTAAATTATGTTATGACTTCTACAGTTAGAATTGTGATCGATTTTGAAAGTAGATTTAGTGACTGACCTAGTGAATGAATTGGTATGTCTAATGTGGTTACAACATAGGCTCCTTTTGTTGTTATGTAGTTCGGAAAATCCTGTTGTTTTTATTTTTGGTCTATTACAGGTTATCTTATCTGAAATTTGGTTACTACCTATAATTTCCTTAAGGTTCTTAGGTCTATGATATGCTAGAAGGCGGGGTTCCTCAAACAGTCTTTAGGTCTATATGTATGTGTGTGTGTGTGTGTGTATATATATATATATATATAAACTTCAAATGTTATTTTTAATGGTTACCTGTATTTGTATAAATGGTCTCTTTATTTTAAATTGTGGACCACTTCATAGCTGGACAGTAAAAACATACCAGATCAGACAGTGTTTCCTCCTGCCAAGGGGGATGCAGATTGGAATCCTTCCAGGGGCCACACATTCATAAGTTTTCTCATGTATGCAGGCCAGTAGATGAAATAAATACTGTTTAAAATAAACAGACCCTCTACTCCAGTATGCAGATCTGCTAAAAATAACATTTGAAGTAATAAAAAAAATGTCAGATTAAAAAATAAAATTCAGATTAAAAATATATATAATATATTATATATATTATATATATATATATATATATATATATATATATATATATATATATATATATATAGTGTGTGTATTAATGAAGTTCCATTAGAAAGGCCTTTGTTGTCTGCCTTCAGCACCTCTGGCTTTTCTTAAAATATTTGGAGAATGGAGTAGATTAGGAATTTATAGCCAGAACTTTTTTTTCTATGGATGTTCCCATTCTTTTTTTTTTTTTTTTTTTCTTCCTCTTCCCTTGCTTTCCAGATCAAGAACTAACTTACAACCAGAATCAGCAATTGCCTAGAAGGGAGAAAAGTACGTTTTTTTTTTTTTTTTTTTTTTTTTTTTTTTATTGTCTCTCCAAAATAAATTGGATAAATTTTCTTTCACCATTTTTGCTCTCAGCCCTCTCAAACAGTAATAATTGTATGGAAGTTTCTGAACTGGTGTTAATTGATGCAGTTCTTCTTCCTTTATTAATCATGCTCTAAAAGAATAATGAAAAGAATATATAAAGAATTTATTATATTTGATATTCATGTTTTTTTGAAGTAGTTTTTAATCAAAATTTTAAAAGATTATGCTATCAATTTTTTATCATATAAAATTATATATAATTTTTATCATATAAGTAAGTAATAAAGGAAAAAGTGATATCTAACAAAGTGTAATAATGAAAGTCAAAAAGCACATGAATGAATCATCCAGGGATACAAGTGAAAATTTTTTATTTAAATTTTTTATCATTTGATATTCATGTTGTTTTTTTTTGTTCTTTTTTTTTTTAAACAGTTTTTAATCAAAATTTTAAAAAAAATATGCTATCACTATTATTGTCAATATTAAAAATAAGAGACCAGAGTTAGGTTTAAGTTAAATGTTTTTAGCATTTACTACTTTCAAACCTTAAAGATACAGTATTTAATGGCATATAAAACTCTGTTTAGCTTGTCTCCCAAAAGTCTCTTTGTGAAATGATGATGCCATTGCTGGAAGCATTCTTGGAATACCTAATACCTTTCAATAACAGTCATATGATGCTGGATGTCAGCTAATATTTGTCCTTTCAGAGCATTTTTTTAAATTTTGGAAAAAGCCAAAAATCTGATCAATAAGGTGGATGGTCCATTTTTGTTAAGGATTTCTTAGCCAGGAAGTCATATGCACTCTTCACACTTTGATTGAATACTTTAATATACTGAATCAGTTGCTAAGTCTGCTGTTAAGAAAGTTAGTTCACTATATCATGTTTGAAACTTTTTCTTGCCAGAATCTGTCTTATTTATAAGTCAGTCTTTGAATAGAACATTTTTGCCACATCTGGTTGGGTGCTTCTGCTCTATATATTTATAGATTCTTGATAATGTTATTAGTCCTGACCTGACATCTCAGCTTCAGGTTCATTCCCACCACTATAATGTAGTTTCCCTGTAACTTTTCTATAAATATCTTCATGGTAATTGTTCTTAAATTTTATGAATTTAAGCACAATACTAGATTGGTAGCAAGAGCTCATCAATTTACAGTTGAAATTCCTAGATGTTCTATGCTAACCATTTCTTCTGTCACACTTCTCACTTATGGAACTCTTTTCTGACTTCTTGCTTTCCAGTCAAACTTAATCTTCAAAAATTTAAATGCAACATCAATCATTATCTTCTGCCTTCTTAATTTCTGTTCTATTATTGTTCTCTCTCCTTAATAATGTTTTCTTTTTCTGTTATTCTTTCACACTCAGTAATCCCTTTTGTGACTGGAAGTGTATTACTAGATTGGCTATTAGGTCTCATCACTTTACTGTTGAAATAGCTAGAGGTAACCATACATTCTATTCTAATAGTTTCTTTTCTCATATTTCTCACATCTGGAACTCTCTTCCAGTTTCTTACATGATTAATTACAAGCAAAGCAGCAAGGCCTCTGATCAGGAGGTTTTGACGAATGTGGAACCATCTCTTAATTGTTGTGGTTTCCAACTTTATCTGGGGTGGTAGCACCTGTTAGGGTCCCAGTTATGGGCAAATAGTTAATCCCCTAGACTGGGGTCAAAACACTTATGAAAGTATAAAAATACCATCATTACATCTTTGGGGAAAAAATTATTACCAGCAAGACTCTTGAAAAAAATCTCTTTACAACAATACATCAATGAAACCAGATCTACAAACTAATTTCTTACAAAGAATACATATTCTATTCATACAAACCTATCTTAAAAATCTTATTGGCATTAAATAACCCATTTAGGTTGATATACTGTAAAGCAAAATAAACAACATCAACTTCTTGCTTCCCTGTCACCTACAGTCTTCAAAAATTTAAGTCCAATGTCAGTCACCATCTTCTGTCTTCCTGAATCCTGTTCTTGTCTCCTTTTTCTTCCCTAAAGTCTTCTCATTCTCTTCCACTACCAGTAACCCCTTGTGCCTAAGTGGCGTTATTACCTTAGGGTAAAATGATATATAAACATAAAAATGCTTTTTTTTCTCTTCTGCAGAACAGACTATTCAATACCTTGCCAAAATATTTTCTAATTAATAGAATCTCTTTATTCATAATTTTTATTCTTGCATATTGTCCATGTTAGAATATTTTTTTTGCATTTTTCTTATTGCGTACTGTTTGTTTTAAGTATAGCATAATCTGCCTTTCTTATGGTCTATAGTCTGTTTGTTTCCTTACAGTATAGTCAATTATCTTGTGTTTGTATTTTATTTATTACATACTTTTTCTTTTTTAACTTCTAGTGTACTCTGGACGATCACAAGCATTGCATTGCTATGTGTGTAACTCTACACTGGATCAGAATTGCAATGAGAAATTTGAAATTACACCGTTGAATCCAATTAAAATGGAACCCTGCCATGTGTATGGTGCAAGGTACTGCATCAAAGTCTATGGCATGTGGGGAGGTAAGTAAATATGTATATGTGTGTGTGAGTAGTTGTGTGTGTGTGTATGTATATATATATATATATATATATATATATATGAATATGAATCCTTATTCAAATCATTATTCATATAATCTCTGGTTTTCTAAGAAACATGAGTAGATGACCAATTTTCCACCACCTGATGTTCCCATCACCTGATTATGGTGCTTTGTAACTCAAATATGTTTGATTAGTCAGAAAAACGGAAACTAATCCACCTTCATCATCATTATATAAAAGTCAGGGTCTGTTTCTTTGTAATGCACAAAGCATACAATGTTACTACTCAATTAAATTCAAACTTCATGCACATATTGAGTCACTTCTCCTCACCAATATCTGATGAAAGTCCTTTTAAATTTACAATCTTCTCATGGGACAACTGAAAAAAATGATAAAATCTGATATTACCCATAATGCCAAAAGTATATTCCCAACAAATAAGGTTTATCATATATAGGAAATGATTGACTGCTTAAAAAAAAAAAAGATAAATAATATAATTTAATATTTTTTCTTTTAACTGGACTTGAACCACAAATTTTTTATTTTTGTTTTATACTATACTAGTGGAAGAAAAATACCAAACAAAACATGTTATACCTTTTTAAGTAAAGCTGCAACATCGGTATAAACTGCTTTTTAGTTATCGAACTAAAGAACTCTGGCAAAATTTCTTGGTATTTTTTCAGTTTTTTTTCATCATATAGTAAATCTAAAATTTCCCTTTTTTTTTTTTTTTTTTTTTTTGTAGGGTACCCTGTAGAATATAATATTTATTCATCTTAATTTAGTCTAAGTACCAGCTGCATTTTCCCCAGATTTTACAAGAAGCCACTGACATTGTTTTATATAGAAATAGGCATAGTGTCTCCAACATCTAGCAAAACAAAAGAAAAATTTAACTATCATCAGTATCTTGAGACACAACATAAACTAAAATGCCATGTCACCAATATATGGTAGTTAACATGTTAATTCACTAACCTATTATCCTGTGGGACTATATAATTTGCTAAGTTTGATTCGAGCCAAGGCCATGTATCTTGGGTACCCAGTGAGAATTCATCTGTGTACAACACAAATAGTCTATAATACTAGCTTGTTAACCATTTCACCATGTCAAGGTACTTGTGTTTATATTTACTAAGCTTAGGTTAGTATGGCAAATAGACATAAGTCTAGAGTGCCCAATGAGGATTAAACTGTATAACAAGACTTGTCTGTGAGATTAAGTTCTTAACTATTGCTCCATAATTTTGTATAATATTCTTGTAAAATCTGAACAAGTACAGAATTTTTTTTATAATACCCACCCACCCTTTTTTCACCAAATTATTCAAAGAAAATTGTGTGTCAAGATAGACGCATATTTTTACATCATGATTTAGTTGAGTTGTTTAAAATGGATCTGTCAAAGAGCTCCCGGTAATGTTAATTCAACATCATAATTTTGAAAGCAGTTTTGACTTGAGCAATTTTTTGTAACCTTTCTGGACTTAGATGAAATGCCTGTCCAGTTAAAAAAGGTAAAGTGTTGTAATATTTGATCTGCTTAACTTGACAAATCTCCTAATTGACATTTACACTCTCTTGGTATAAGTCTTAGAATTGCCTTTAAGAATTTCATTTTCCTTCTGAGAATTCCTGTGTGGCCTCAAGGCTGTTGAGTTGGCACCGTGTGCTGCGAGTTAAACATAATTGCCTTGACATGAAAGGCGAAACCTTTGTCTGACATTAGATATGGATTTTTTTCAAAATATTTATTCTGGTGTTTTTTCTTTTATTATTATTATTATTATGAACCTCTAACATTTGATATTTTTCACTTTCAAAATTGAAAAATTGGACCCATGGCATTTTCTGAGAATTCCTTTTACTTTGTTTCAAATATTTGTTGGGGCTTTTAAAATCCCATGATTGTTGCACATTGTCATACACATAAAGTTACAGCATTTAGACCTAAAGATGCACATGTATATGAACAATGATTATATGCTTTTGTAGAATGAAAATATTAACTGAACCACGTATATGAGACCACTGTTTTCATATAATCTCTCTCTCTCTCTCTCTCTATATATATATATATATATATATATATATATATATATATATATATATATATATATATATATGTGTTTGTGTAAAGCAAACCAAACTATTGGTAAAACTTCCAAGTACAACTCTATTGAAACTAAGCCTGCCAAATGAAAACAACTCGACTTGAAATGACAAAAGTAAAAAAGATAAACTAAGTCTTATAATATGTATTGACTTTTAAGAATTTCTAGCAGAACAATGGTTCAACTTTTTATCCAGTTTGTACTAAGTAAAAAATAAACATTTATATAGTTATGCTTTGAAACAATTTAGAATTTACAGAATGTATGTATGAAATTTGTACTATACATATATATACACACACACCCACCCACCATATTTATCTGAACATTATGCAAAAATTATTGTACTATATATAATTGTGTATCTGGCCGTCAATCCCTCTTTTATACAAGATTCATTAAAGATCACTGACAAGGTACTGTGATTAAGTCTTTTTATTCAATTTTTCTTCTGTTCTTATAAATGTTTTCTTTTAAGAACAGGAAATGTATTCCAACACTTTCGGCTATTCTGTTAACCATTTTTAAGGATTTTTTTTTTTTTAACATATTCAATCACCCTGCCAAAATCCTTGATAATGGCTAATAGAATGTCCAGATGTGCTCAGATATAAAGAATGTTTGAACAGTTTTTCCATACTTTTATATCCAGAAAAGAAAACACTAATGTGAATACAAAAAAATTAAATGAAATGCTTAATCGCTGTACCTTGTCAGTCCTCACACACACACGCATGCATATATAAATGAGAGAAATAGATAGATATTGCATTTCATATATGATGTGCTGAAAAGTTCTTAGCCTCATCTACTTCCCAGGCTTTGGTCAAATGGCCAAAGAACAACACTTTTTGTTCTTGGAAGACCTTGGTCAGGCTGAGAACTTTTCAGCACTCTCTTCAGTATGTATTTAGAACAAATGCATAACACATTCACACAAAATTCAGCAAGCCTGTGATGAAAATATGCTCACATTAAAAGAAACAAAATTATTTTAAGATATCTAAATGTATTAGATGAAGCATTGTCATTCTTTTAAACTTTTTATTTCTTTTTGCTTCTTATTGCAACTCTCGGGTCATTTCTTCTATGACTGAAGTAAGTTACATGGATCAGTAATACTGAATAAGTTGAAAGAAATACTAATAAAAAATGAAAGACAATCCATCGTCTCGGAAATTCTGACATCTCAAGACATTTGCATTTAATGCTAGCACTATAAACAAAAATTAACAGTATGGTAGTAAAGAAGTAGTTTTATGAAAATTTGAAACGAAAGGAACTCTTGAAATTTGGAGGAGACAGAAATTTCTAGGACATAATAAAGAAAGTAAATTTGGAAAAAGCGCTCAATATCAGAGATAGAGCTAACATATTTGGTTGGATAGATGTGAGTTTGGACCCTGGGTTTCACGCTTTTAGCGATCGTCAGATGATCGCTAAAGCGTGAAACCCGGTCAAAACTATATATATATATATATATATATATATATATATATATATATATATATATATATATATATATATATATATATATATATAAAATAAAGAACAAGTAGAAAACATGTCTCAATGTTTCACCTTTATTAAGACTTTGTCAGAAATTGATATTGAAATGAAAAAGGATTTGTAAATTTTCTTTGTGTTAAACAAGCATATGTTAGATTCATGAATATTGTATGTGTAGAAAAATGGTGATGTGATGTAATCTTTTAAGTGAGAGTTTGTAGTTGGTTGTAATGCTATAAATATATTTTCTCTTTAAAAGGTTATGTTTTGTTTTTTTTTTTTTTTTTTTTTTTTAAATTAGGCTGACATTAGAGAAATCAAAGTTATGTCCCATGTGGTTGCAATGTAAGACAAGACAGAATGTCTGTCTAAATGCAAGTCTCTCTTGTGTTTGTAGATCTGGGGGGGGGGGTTTAAAACGTGATATCTCCCTAATGTAAATGTCTTTGCACTGCAGACACTTTATCTGATAAATTCTGGCATTTGAAATGATGTTTGGTTTATTTTTCTTCCTGGTTATATTACTGATTGACTTTAATAAAGGTGAAACATCGTAGATTGAGATATGTTTCCTACTTGTTCCTTATTTTATCATCTTGTTGGATTTCTACATTTGATCTTGTGTGTGTGTGTTTCTCTCTCTCTCTCTCTCTCATATATATGTGTGTGTGTGTGTGTGTGTGTGTATATATATATATATATATATATATATATATATATATATATATATATACGTTTGTAGCACTACTTAAAGTTTCATGGTTTTTCCAAGTTGTCAGGCATGAACTGTTGAATGAAGCACTTATTACAGTTGTTTTTTTAAAAATGCTGGGTCTTATGGGAGGAATGCTCAAAATTACTTAAGCATTCTTTTTAGTAGATACTTGCATTTGAGTAGGCACACTATTTGTTAAAAATATTTATTTTCATTTACTGGCCTGAATATTTAAGAAATCTTATTAGACAAAAGTATGCACTCTCTGGCAGGATATGAACCTGCATTCCTTTAGAGCAGTGGGTGGGGGGCAAACCTTTCAGTGCAAGGGCCACATTCAGAAATTCACAATTTTATTGGGCCGCATAGTATATTAACCCAAACTAATTAATATTTAAAATAGACAAAAAATGGCTTTTAAAGAAAAAAAATGCACTAAATTTTTATTAATTAATATTTTAAAGTACTGTAGAAGATTCACATGAAACGCATTTAT